TGCTATTTCCTGGTTTTATGGCAGCGGTTTCGGGGGGGGGGTGCTTCCGACTGTTCCGATCCATGGCCTAGCGCGCAAGCTTTACGGCTTGACTTCGATGTGCGACAATCACAACGTTTCAGTATGATCCAGTTGTCTAGGAATCGATCTGTTATCTGGCATTGCGAAAGCATATCTCCCTACGAGTCCCTCCTTAAGCATTCCGATCACCTCGCTAAAGCGTTGCAACTTTTGGATGTGCTGTCTGAGAAGAGCCGGCTCACAAATTTGGACATCTGGCGTTGTTGTGCTTAAAATCTTGTCGAGTGTCATCACGCCAGCATTTTTTCGAGGAAACCGCACCGCACTTATGTTCCTCGCATCCGAGATAGCACTTAGTCAGTATTTAGCTTCGATGACCATGATTGAGGAAAAGTATCAAGGCAGTCCTGATCCCTGTAGAGAGGTAGCGTCATTAGTGCCGCTTTTCATCACCATGGGCCAGTTTAGCTTCCTCACTACCCTTGTGTCATCCTCTATATCGTATTTCTGTCGGTTATGAACTCACTCATGAATGATATTCTGAAATACATGTTTCTGCACCTGCTTCAACTGCTAAATTATAAATAAATTTTATGAAGATGAAAGAAAATGCAGTTATCAGGACATAAGGAGGAGCACCGTTGTGAGTTTCGAATGCTCCGCTTGACAAATATGTTTTTCCACCCTTCTAACCGTTGCCTTGTTTATATGAATGAAAATGCTACTAATGCACGACGCTTAGTTCACGTGACCGATAGATTTCGATCCAACCGCAGGTCATAAGCGTCAGATTAAAATTCATTTATTGTAGACGCTGTATGCTAAATATATTCATAATTTGCCTCTTAAATTGTAAATTACTATCAGGTGGATTAAGGAAACGATTTTTGGTTCAAAATCACTTATTGCTGATAACAGATTAAGTGCATAACAGGAAGATTGGTATCTCTCGGATCATGTTCAACTAGCCGATATTTTTTGAGGTTCACAAGAAACGGTTATTCCAGTGGTTGAGACGAACTCATCGTTTTGTTCTGCTTCATTCTAGCACGTAGTGCTGTATTTTCTTGTTACCAACTCGGCAAGATGCTTATTCAAAATATTCAATTCAGCCAGTCAGTCAGTTTCGACGACCATATATCATTTTCAGTCTCCGAATTAGCAGCGTCAGACATTGTATCCAACGCTCCGGTCCTGTACTTGCTCCTGAGCTTTGCCAGAAGATGACATGAGGCATTTCTCCGATGCCTTCAGAATACATTCGCAAAACGTACTCAGACCATCGCAGTTTGACTTCTCATAACATCATGACACTTTTCGTCTCAATTATAGCACGTTAGATATTCTGTTTTGAGGAAATAAATTATTTGTCGATAGGCAAGCTCATTGTGTTCTACTCAGTGAACTCAAAAACGATTTGGATGTGTCTCTCTCAGAAGGAACTATTGGAAAACCATCATCCTTATCGATATCGGATGAAAGCACAATGAAATCTTATCGCCATGCTATCTATGCCGTAACCAGAGGATAACGGCTACGGAAAAGGTAGAAGGGCAAAGATAATGCTCGAAGGATAATGTTAGCTAATGGTCAGGAAAGAACATCATTCGCACAGAGTCGACTATTGCGGCTCCTCAAAATCTAGCGTTATGATGCTGCCGAAGTTTCTTTTCACATATGTTACTATCCATCTGAATGATAAAAGTTATGGTTGCATATTTTATATCAAATAAGAAAAACGGATTCAGACAACCTGCTACAGTCATCATGAACAAATGCAAGAAATCACCATTATGTCCGTTTTGGACAGTTTGTCATATCGGACAACTTTTTTGGTCCAGAACTCACTAGAAGGCTTTATGTGGCATTGAATATGTACAGAAGAAACGTACCTTTTTGAAAACAGTAAATTATCAACTGCGGATGGAACCACGCTGTGGGAAAGTTCCGTGTTCCCAACAGCTTTATATTGTTGCGAGACCTAGTAATTAAGGAAAAATAATGATGACAGAAAAGTGAACCTGCAGGCTATGGAAAGACAGATGCTATAAATTTCTGTGATGAGCCAGCTACCTGCTGAAGCAGTCAGTGGAAGCGCGGGAATACAAGACGGTGTCAGTTTCAAACGAAAGAAAACGGCAATGGGCAGGTCATTTCGCGCCGGTGGTGGCGATTTGGGACTCAAGCGACCGCAAGCGTCGAATTTAAAGACCTCGGCTCAGATGGGACAGTGAGCCAAAAGAAAGACGTGGAAGTTTGTGACGATACCTTGCACGAAACAAACGACTGTGGGTATCGATACTAGGCATTGAAGACGGTAAATTACGAAGAAGAATCAACCAAGAATTTCAAGAATATTATATCAAAACATAAACAGGTAATTAAGTTGAGGATGGTACCGTATGAGTGAGTCATGAAAGTAGCTAAATTCAATATGAGGAGTTCGTAAATACTTGCGCACTGCCGCCCCCCCCTTCAGACGGATGCTGTGACATGTGGACATTGATGTGCTGGATTTAAGAAATTAATACCTTCTAAAACGCCTTCAGTAAACTTAAATTTGCGCCTGCAACACTGAGGCAATTATGTTTTTGCTGTATTGTACTATTTTCAGTTCTATTTTCAAACAATCAAATTATTTTACGATCCGTTTCTGCCGTTCTGCCTTCTGAGTTTCTTGCGCGGTTCTTTCACTACGGCCGAAGCCGAAGTTTTTAAAATAGCCAGCCGTTCGCCTCACTCATTCTTCGTCCTCGTTCCTCGTTCAAGCACGATGTGGTAGCAGAAATTTTGCGAAGAATTTGTAGCCAGAATCCCCAAGTTTTTAAAAAAGCACAGGTCGTTCAAACTGCTCAAGGAGATCTTCGTCAGATATCAGATATCGATAATTTTAATGCTCTGTTATTAAGGCAGCAAATATACCTTTAAACTGCATGATTAGCGACGAAGATCTTTTGAACTAGTCTTATTTAATCATATTTTTTATAACTTGTGAGTGAATTTATTTTTCCATCATGTAAATGTAAATCGGAGTGTCTAGCTGCTGGCCGTATAGTGCGTCCTCAGGATGCGAATAGGGAAACGACCTCCAGATACAGAGATTAGCTATTAAAAATCACGAATAATAGCGAATGGACCACTGGGGCGTGGCTGGGTTAGAGCCCTACAAGTTCGTTCCTTAGAAAAATCATATAAGGCCTAATGAAGAAGCGAAGCCCGCCCCTTTGAAGAAAAATGCTGCCTTGCGGGTTAGACTCGGTTCGTCAAAGACTGGTAGAAACAACTCGATAAAAACTGAACACAGTTGGGCGGCCTGTCTGACGAAATCTGTCAGGTCTCTATCAGCCATTCGAGGGGGTGGCAAAACTTCATGCGCTATGACAACACAAAGGGTTGCGCCCTTCGCGATCCGTCATCGGATACCGTCGGATCCAAGTGATCCCGGTGAGATGCCAAGCTCTGTTTAAAGGACATCAGTACAGACGTCAGGTGATGCCGTTTTTCTGGTCTGTTCTTTTTATGTTTTGACCGAACCAACGACGCATATGATGTATTGTTCTGTTCTTTGTCTTATATTATCCATCAAACGTTTCTGGACCTTCGGTTCGTCGTGCCCATCAGTTTTTCGTCTAACATTTACAGAGTACATGGCATGGTAAAAGAAATTTGCTATGGTGCGGTGGAGATTAGTATCGATGATGACTCTTAATCGTTCTTGTCAGGTTTGTATTCTGTTTCCTTATCGTAGACCGGTTTTCTTTAATCCATGATGAGGCTTCCAATCCTTGATTACCATTGTCACGTTAGCCGGCCGTTTAAGGGTTCACACCAAGTGTTAACGGTTAACGAAAATATCCATTGCCGTACTGCGCCCTGGCGTGTCACCATTTACTCTGGTCGTTGGAGCCAAGGGTATGTTTATAGAGAGTGAAGTTCTCTCGCGGTCGAGTAAAATCCTCTCTCACAATATGACATTACGTTCGTTCTCTTCCTTGAAAGAATGAGCTTCATATCTCTGAATTCAGGGGTACATAAGGATGCAGGCATGCGTTGAGGAATACGGTCATGGCGACGCTCTTCACGGAAAAGTTGTTCAAGTATCTTCTCCATTGAATATTCAGCGTTCACAGCTCTTCATATTTTTAGTGAAATGATCCTTGTGAATCAGGTGAGGCACAAAGCGCGTCTTGTTAAATTTGAATGCTGTTTCATATGTAAAATTACCGTACACGAGCGCTGCATAAGAATTTTAAAAAGGCAGTCCGCAGCCGCAGCATTCTGTAAGAATAGAGGTTCGACACCACCTACGTGACATACTATGCTGTTCAAGCCTGATTAATGTCCAATTGCATGTTCTAAATCGTAACGCGTTGGCGTTGCAGCCATCCGGTATTCGTACTGTCAGCCGCATAATAGCATAAAACTCTGTCTGCCTTTTTCCGGTCACATGGTGAGATTAAACAGCGACAGGCTGCACTTTGTTTTCGTAGCCTGATATCTCTATTCAAGCCATGTATTGAGAACCTTCGTGTTCTTCATGTGTCCCCCCTTCCCCTCTAGAGTATATAAACGAGTATACCTACCGATGACTGATTTTTTGCTGTCATACCCCATTCGGTGACCATGGGGCATACGTCTAGTTAGCGCCACCGTCTGGCGACGTCAAAAAGTGCATGATGTTGTTGACAAGGGAGCAGTGGATAGTAGTTTGTCTGCACTTTAGCGATGTGGAATTCGAATCCAAAACGCCCTAAATATTTACCTGTTACCTGGTATTTTCCCGATGGTGCTTCGGTGCAACCAGTAGAGAGACCAGTAACGAGTCGTTACATGATGAAATCATGTTAGAGCGTATGAAATATGAAATCAGTCATAAATGTTTGCTGCTTAAATTAGTGCAAATGGTATGCAAAGCTTGCACCGACTAATATTCCAGCAATCGTCGATCCATTGACACGGCAATATACATATAATGCACAGGAAAAAACAATAATGAGAGAAAGAATGAGTAATGATGAAGAAGAAATGGATTGATGGATAGAAAGTTAATGCAGATGAATATCTGAATATGTAAATTAACATGAGAGAATCAGTCTTCACAGATTTTCTGTATACTTCAGTCCTTGCATAGATGCCGACATATTGAAACCTTGTGAATTGAGACCGCGAAGCGCATCTTGAAACAGCTTGGTGCCAGCCAGGAAGACTAATGCAGTGCTGTCTGATGGGTGCGCCTTTCAGCTACAATTCCTTACGCCTGAAGTAAATCAGAACAAAGTGCAAGTCATAAGAAATGGTGATAACGATTATGATACTGGCAACGGCACTTTCTAAACTCGAAGAAAATTTGTGACACAACAGCAGTGGCAAAAATGTGGAAAGTTCAAAAGATTTATTCTCTAATTTTTAATCAAATATCTTAGATTTCATATTTTAATATCGTCTGTAAATTTGTATAGTCATTCGTTAATTCGTTAACGCATCGAACATTACTTCTGGAATGCATTTCTGAAACGATGCTTTTTCGTAGCAGTCAAATA